AAACTTATATAACAAACTAACATGACGCTGGATGGGCGATTTGGGCGCCCCCGAACGAACCAAGGCAAGGGCATGCTCGGCACAATCGAGAGCATCCTGCCAGCAGGCTGGTTTGGGGAAGGGCCCGACGGGGATGGGTCCAGGGATCGGGGGGGGGGGGGGGGGGGCGCGCAAAAGTGAGGACCTGGAGGTCCGCGAGAGACTGATGGAACCTGACTCGGACGGGTCGATGGGGGCGAATGTCCGCATTCAACGCGACCGCAGTACCAGCAACCCCTTTTCCCGAGTCCTGGGCTACAGACAAAATAATCGAGCATGGATCCACCTCCCGCAGCCGTGCTAGTGCAGGAGATGGAGTTGGGTGGGTGCACAATGTTGGCTGACAGGCCCGCCGCGAAACCGCGCTCGGCGAGCTCAGACGGGGGCATATTAAAATCCCCCCCCCCCCCCCCCGCCACAAGGTATGGGGGAGGGGCAGGAACTGAGGGGGGAACCGGGTTTGGCTATAACGCCAAGGTTGAGTTCAGATAATCCTTCGGAGTCCTTGAGGTAGATGGAGCAACGCAAAATGGTGACGCCGCCAGGTACTTGCACCCAGCAGGCCGTCACTCGGCCTGGGTAGATATCTGGCCCCGTAGTGATGTCGTAACAGCCTAGCCAGTCTCGAGCCAAAATCGCCGTACCACCAGACGAGCCCCCATCGGGCGTGGCCAGGGGCACCAGGACGAAGCTTCATCAACCGCAGCCTGATTTGCTAAGTGATGCTCCTGAACTAAAGTTACACGGGCGGGGGGGTTTAAAAGCCAGGGCTTGGCCGACGTCCAACTGCTGGTGTTAATGGTCTCAAAAGTAACTCAAAATCGTCAGGGCCTGGGTGGGCTGGGACTCTGAAGACACCATTACACTGGGTCATGTTAGACTGGCCAGGTTGCATATGGTAAAAAGTTCGCCCCCTGTGCGGGGCCATGCTGCTGGAAAGGCTTACCTCCACTCACTTGGCTCGCCCCCCGAGCTCGTGGCGATGGCTCGGGGGGGGGGAGGGGGGGGTCCCTGTGACTCAGGGGCTTGGGCAGCAGCACGGGCGGCACGCCCCCGGAGGTTGGCGGCCGCAGCGTCGTCCTGCGGGGCTGCCTGTGCCGCCGCTGCCGCGGCAGCACCTGGGGCGCCTCCGCCGCCCGCAGCGGCAGGCGCGTCTCCTTCGCCTCCTCCAGGGACGGCGCCGTCCTCGACCTGCGAGAGCCTCGAGAGGTTCTCTCTGTACTCCTTCTTCGCCGTGTCGAGAGTCTTGACCAGGTCGGCGTACAGCGTGCTGGCCAGCTCCTGCGCACCAGCCAGAAGCTCCTTCTGCTTGCCCTGCAAGAAAGTGATATCTTCAGAACTGAAATCATACCCTGCTGACGGGATGCCCAACAGTTCGTCGCCACCAACGATGCTGATCTCCGACAACCGCCCCTCGAGAAGGTCGCGTGCATTGATCTGCGTCGCCGTGCTGTTGGCCTGCTGCTGGAGCTTACACACTGTAGAGTGTAGCTGGCCAACGAGGTCGGTGTGGATGCGGTCTTTCTCTGCCAACTCCGCTTTGAGCTTGACCACATCTTCGTGCTTCTTGGTGACCCATACGCGAGCCGAATCCAACTCGTCCAGCGCCTTCTCGAGCCTGCGCTCAATGATCTTGAGGGCCTGATGAGCATCGTTGGCCTGTCGCTGAAGAGGCTTCGGAGGTGCAGGGCGATCTTTGGCTTGGCGTCGCTCGAGGGCCGCCTTGTAGGAACCCACGTTGGCTGTGTCGTTGTGCTTATTTGCGATGTCGAGGAGCTGCTGCAGCTCGTCCACCGTATAGTTGTCGTACTTCTGCGACTGTGGCCCAGCCTTGAGCGGCTGTCCGCCTAAAGCCGCTTGGAGAGGAGGGAAGTCGCCTTGTCGCCGCGCTGAAGACGCACCCCCCGCCCATGAGCCTGGAGGAGCCGTCCCTGGATTAGCACCTCTCGGCCGCTTGCAATGCTTGCAAGCATTGGCACGGGAGTCGTTCTTCTTGCATCGACAGTCTGGGAATGTACATGTCCAACGACCAGCAGGACCGCCGTCGTCATTGTAGCCGGGCGCGCCAGGGTGTGCACCAGGAAACGGCGTGGCGCCCCACTGTGGCCACTGTGGCGCGTAGGCGAACCCATGAGCCCAGGCTGGGGTCGGCCCCCATGGCATGGGCTTGAACGGGGCCATGGCGTTGAGAGAATCGTGCCAGGATGGTTCGTTGGCACCTTGTGCCGCTCTGCAGTAGATGCCAACAATCACAGTTGCCTGTGCCAGAGCGGCTACGAGGAGGGAGGGGGGGGAGGAGGAGGAGGAGGGGGAGGAGGGGGAGGAGGAGGAGGAGGAGGAGGAGGAGGAGGAGGAGGAGGAGGAGGAGCTTCCCTTCCCTCCCCATCCCTTCAGGAAGGATGATGCGGATGAGGAGGCGCATTCCCTTCCCTTCCCTCATGACGGACGAGGAGGTCCCCTTCCCTTCGCGTTCCCTCATGGAGAAGGAGGGGGATGTTCCTTCACTTCCCTTCCGCTCAATGCAGAGGTTCCTTCACTTCCCTTCCGCTCAGTGCAGAGGAGGAGGAGGAGGAGGAGGAGGAGGAGGAGGAGGTTCCTTTCCTTCCCTTTCCTTCAGAAGTAACCAGAAGTAACCATGAAAGGACGAAGTCCAGGCAAGACAAAACGAATTGGGCGGGGACTAATCCGAAGAAGAGCCCCCGCGGTGAGGAAGGACGGTCGGGCGGAGGAGGAGGAGGAGGAAGAGGAGGAGGAGGAGGAGGAGGAGGTTGGAAATGAGGTGCCTTCCCTTCCCTTTGCCTCTGGGAAGAAAAGGAGGAGGTCCCCGTCCTGCCACCTTCCACCAGCAGGAGGGGGAAGAGGAGGAGGAGGAGGAGGAGGCTCACCCCCGTCCTTCCCTCAGGAAGGAGGATGAGGATGAGGCTCCTGTCCGTCCCTTTCCCTCAGGAGGGGGACGGGGGAGAAGAAGGAGGAACATCCTTCCTTTCCTTTCCATCAGGATCAGGGAAGAGAAGGTTCCCTTCCCTTCCCTGTCCCCCAGGACGTCGGAGGATGAGGAAGGCCATTCGCTTCCTTTTCCCTCAGAGGGAAGAGGAAGGCCATTCGCTTCCTTGAAGGAGGAGGCTCATTCCTTTCATGTTCCCTCGGGAAGGAGGAGGAGGACACTCCTTCTTCCCGTTCCCCCCAGGAAGGAGGACGAGGGGGAGGCGGAGGAGGAGGTTCCTTCCCTTCCCTTACTTTCATGACGGAGAAGGAGGAGGTTCCTTCCTAGTCCATTCTCTCATGAATAGGGACGAGGAGGGGGAGGTTCATTCCCTGCCCTTTCCTTCAGGAATCAGGAGGAGGATGGGGAGGTTCCTTCCCTTCCCTTTCCCTCAAAAGGGTGAGGGAGAGGTTCCGTCCCTTCCTTTTCCGTCAGGAAGGAAGAGGAGGAGGTTCTTGCATATCCCTTTCCATCAGAGGGAGGAGGCGGAGGAGGAGGTCACTTCCCTTCCCTTTCCCTTAGGAGGAGGAGGAGGAGGAGGAGGAGGAGGAGGAGGAGGAGGAGGATGTTCTTTCCTTTCCTTGCCGCCCTTCAGGACAGAGGGGGAGGAGGTCCCTTCCCTTCCTTTTCCCTCAGAAGGAGGAAGAGGAAGGGGAGGAAGCTCCTTTCCTCCCCTCTCCTTCAGGGAGGACGAGGAGGAAAGGAAGGTTCCCTCCCTGCCAATTACCATCAGAAGGAGGAGGAAGAGGAGGAGGAGCAGGCACACTCCCCTTCCTCTCCTTCCGGAGGGAAGCAGAGGATGCGGCTCCTGCCCTTCCTTTTCCCTCCGGAGGAGAAGGGGGAGGCGAATGAGGAGGATCTTTCCCTGCCCCTTTCCTTCAGGATGGAAGAGGAGCAGGAGAAAAAGGAGGAGGAGGTTCCCTCCCCCTTCTCTGCCCCCCCAAGGAGGAGGAGAGGATGTGGCTCATTCCCTTCCCAATTCCCTCAGAAGGAGGAGGAGGAGAAGGAGGAGCATTCCCTCCCCTTTCCCTCAGGAAGGAGGAGGTGAGAATTCCTTCCTTTCCCTTCCTTCAGGAAGGAGGAGAAGGAAGAGGTTCCTTCTACTCCCTGTCCCTCAGGGCGGAGAAGGAGGAGGTTCCTTCTTCACCAGCCAATGCCAGACACTCCACGCGGAGGAGGAAGGAGGACATGCTGGGTGAAAGAGAAGGAGGTCCCGCAGACGCCCACGAGACGCGCTGGCATCATCTGCACCTCCGAGAGCCCAAAGCATGATCATCATCGCAGTCGTCATCTTCAACAATATGGACATCGTAGAAACGCGGGCCTCCGTTATGCCCCCCAACCCCCCTGGCTGACCCCGGCGTCGAAAGCGGGGTCGGGGGGGGGTCGAAACCGTCCTCCTTTCAAAAGGGGGGCCGACAGGGGAGCTCCAGCTTCCCAGAGGGAGGGGTGCCCCTCTCCTGGGGCTCGAACCTTGTGTGTGTGGTCTTTTTCACGTGGGACCCCACCGCCCAGATGTGAAAAAGCCGGACGCGAAACTCTTGCGGCGCTCGGATCTCAGGTCTTGCATTCGGTCGGGCGTGTCCTCCTGCAGGCGGACTTTGGAGGGCAAGGACAGCACGCCCCAAAGATGCTCCGACATACGCCAAACATCGCCCCCCAGACCAGCTTGTGGATTATTATTTTTGGACGCTCCTCCTAGAGGGACACGCCCGACCGAAGTCTTGCATGCCGAGGCGCGCCCGACCTTAGGGAGCCCACAAAGGACGTACGCGCCCAGCTATGTACATGAACACGGCCCCTTGACCCGCGAGACCGGCCGCGTGATACGAATATTCGCCTAATGCGAAATCTCGAAAACAGCGTGGATTCATGTACGTGTACGTCCGTCTTTCGCTCCTGAGACCTGGAGGGCGGCCGCCCGGAAGCCCTGGCTGAGGCGGTAGCGCGTCGCGCGCAGCTCCGCCGCGGCCGCCGCGGCGCCGCAGGCCGGCCGCCCGGGGCTCGCCCGGGGCTCGCTGGCGGCGGCGCTGGCGCCGCACGGGCCCGGCGGCGGCGTGAACAGCAGCTTGCCGCCAAGGGGCGCCTGGAGGTCCAGGGCCGACCCAGAGATCCGAGGACAAGATCTCTTCAGTCCGGCGTTTTTTCCTGGATTTAGGCCTCCGGGGCCCGCCGTCGGGCCCGGGGGCCATCGAGAGTGCATCCGGGGCGAGAGCCCACCCCCAGGGAAGGGGTCGGGACCTCTGGGGCCGCGGATTGAAAATATTATATCGGTGGATGTCTGGGGAAGGCAGCGGCGGCGGCAGCGGCCGCGGCGGCCGCGGCAGCCGCGGCGGCGGCGGCGGCGGCGGGAGCGGCGGCAGCCGTGGCAGCGGCAGCAGCGGCGCGGACAGCGGCGCGCACGGGGGGCGCCTCGAGGTCCAAGGCCGAGTGCAGCGAGCGGCGGACAGCGGCCAGCTCCGGGGAGGGCTGCGGCGCCGCCACGGTTGGCCACGCCCATCTGGGCGGAGTTTTGTTTCTGGGCAAGGCAAAGCGAAGTGCGATGCTATGACACGTCAGGTCCAGCCTGTTTGCACCTCGGAGTCAGCAGACATCTCGAGAGCGATCAGGGGACGAACCAACCTCGGGCGGAGTGTGTTCCCACAGCGACAACGCCGCCGCTAGGCGCAAGCGTGCAAGTTGAGGGGTCAGTCAGGGCTTTTTGGGCGCCCTGGCGGCTACAGCTGGCCAGCAAAAGGGGTCCGGCAAGGCCGAAGCAAGGCAAGGCTGCAAGGTGCCCTTGGCAAGTCGCCTCATCCTTTTTGGGATGCCCAACTGGGCCCTGGCAGTTATCGCCGAATAGTGAACTGAACAGCGCGGCCCAAGGCCAACTAGAGCAAATTTTCGCGACGATCCTCGCGTCGCTGCGTCACGGGTGTCGCTGTCGGCCATCACTGTGGCTCTAGACTCGCGCGGGGCGGGCTGCGATCCACCCTTTGCGGACGGAGAAGAGGAATAAACGGTAAGAACCGTGAGATGTTCGGAGGCACTTGGCGGTCTTTGTTGGTTCTCGGTGGTCGTCGGGAGCTTTCGTGAGCTTCGGTGAGGTAGCGTAATTGAAAGGAGGCGTAGGAGGGGGGGAAGGGGATGGTGGAGGATGCGAGCGAGGAGGAAGGGGATACTGATAATACTGATGCTGATCATGATGATGCTGCTGCTGTTGACGTTGGAGTTGATGATGCTGCTGCTGCTGATGATGATGATGATGATGATGATGATGATGATGATGACGAGGGGGAGTGGCAAACGGAGAAGGTGGAGAGCGAGGCGTAAGAAGAACATGACGAACACAAACAGCCATAATGCTGTCTCACGCCACAGCGGAAGACAGGCGCACAGAAATTGCCCACTGGACGGAGGGACATGACGACGACGTCGCCGTAATTACTCTTGTCTATCGTTTCGTCCGCTGTCTATGGCCTCGCGCTCATCTCCGAGATCAGGCGGCTGACCATGGTTGTCCTCTGCTTGCCCTGAGCAAGCTTCCAACCATACTGCTCTGTGCCGCGTCAAAGCTCACCCCCGGATTGTCCGTCAAATCCTGTTTCGTGCTCTTGGGCGGAGCACGATCTGCCGTCGCTTGACTGGAACAAATACCCCCCTCCGGGGAAACTGGAGGGGAAAGGGGGGTGAAACATCCCCCCCCCTCTTCCCCGGGAGCCGGGGGGTGCCTGGAAACCAAGGGGGGAGGGGCGGTTCGAGTCGGCTCCAATCGAATCTTGCCACTAAGGCTGGATCCAGCACTACTTACATCCTACTTGGGCTCGATCAAGCTCCATAATAGAATCCTGCAAAGGCTATGTAGGTCCAGCTCTAATGGGATCCTACTAGGGTGCTAGGGATGGATCCAGATCAAATGATATCCTGCAATGGCTCGGTCTAGCTCTACTCGAATCCTGCTACCAGAGCTGGATCCAGCTCTGGCAGAATCGCACTCGGGCTCGATCCAACTTTAATAGGATCCTGTTGTCAACTGGATCCAGAATTAATGGGATCCTACCGGTGCTTGGTCCAATTCAAATTGGATCCTACCAAGGTCTAGATGCAGCTCTCATAGAGCCCATTAGGGCTCGATCCAGTACTTCAGCCCTACTGTGGCCCGATCCAGATATACTATAATCCTACGAAAGCTGAATCCAGCTGTAAAAGAGCCCTACTAGGGCTGGATCCTGCTGTAATGGAGTCCCTTCCCCTCCCCCCCAGAGTGGGAGGCTGTTTTACCCTCCCCCCTGGTTCGAGATCGGAGGGGGGGCTTGCTAGTAGCGGCAGGGAACGCCATTTCTGATCTTGCGGACCTTGCGTGTCCTGAGGAATGGCAACGTAATGCCTTAACCCTGTCTGCGAATGCGCCCGTGGGGTGTGTTTTCTCGATGAGCTGGGCGCCATCCACCCTGAGTCTCCTGGACGAGCGTGGGAAGTTTCTCGACCTCGTCCTACGCGAAGCCGCCAATGCAGATGTCTCTGCCTGACAAGCTCACTGGTCTGACATGAGGCCCACGATTGCCGATAGCAAAGAGGGTCTGGCCCTCATCGAAATTGTTCTTAGCTGCTGTCCTACTCTGACCGCTGTGCTGCCGCATCGGGGCCGCTTGTCCCGCCCGTCATGGGGCAAGGATCCCTCCTGCTCCTTCTCCCATGCCTATGGCCTCATCGTCTGCGGCAAGCAATGGCCAACAAGAAATCTGGTCGAAGTCGCGGAGGTTGCCGCGAAGGGAGCCATCGCGGGAATGTCTCGTATTTTAGTCGAGGTCTGAGGAGTTCCAAGTGGTCTCAGCGGTCGACTGAAAACCTGTCCGAAGGAGGTCAGACCACTGGCTGTGTACGGATACATGTAGCCGCAGCCGTAGGCCGTCTTTGGCCAGAATGGCACGATGACGACGACCTCCATGACGACGACGACGAGGCCCTTCGAGGCCCGAAAATGCCCTTAGGTCGGGCATGTCCTCCCACAGGCAAATTTTGGACGAAAAATGAAACATAGTCGAAACATATTCCAAAAATGTTTAAACATACGGCGAACATCGTCCCCAGACTATTTTTGAATTATTTTTGAATTTTCCTCCTGGAGAGACGCCCGACGCAAGACTACTCAAGAACGTCGAATCACCTCGGGGTCCTGGAACCTCGGTCCTCGACCCCCGACCAGCGACCTTCGAGCCCCGATCCTCGAATCGGAGGTTGGCGGGTGAGATCGCAGCAGAACGGGGAACTCCCCACCAGGACATCGGTTTCTGCTTCGTGCTCGTGCCGTTCGGGCGGGCGAGGCGAAGCTGCGTCGGCGCGCGAGAGGAATGATCCCGCGTGTCGCCAGGGCGATTCGGATGCAAAAGTCCGGCCCTCCGGTGGTGCGTGCGGTGGCCAGGGGCGTCCCGCCGTTAGTCCCGCGTTGTCCCGATGGTGTCCCGCGGTGCCTCGCCGTGGGCGCGCGCGAGGAATGATCCCGCCGTCGCTATGGTCTTTCGGATGCAAAACTCCGGCCCTCTGGTGGGCGCGCGGTGGCCGGGGGCCTCCCGCCGTAGTGTCCCGCGTTGTCCCGATGGTGTCGCGTGGTGTCCCGCCGTGGTGTCCCGATGGTGTCTCATGGTGTGCCGTGGTGGTCCCGTGGTGTCCCACAGTGGTGTCCGGCGGTGTCCCGTGGTGTCCAGTGGTGTCCCGATCGATGGTGAGATCGATCGTGAGATCGATAACGACCGAGATGTGTTGAGATCGGTAGTGATATCAATAGTTGGATCGATGGTGAGATCGGTAGTTGCATTGATCGTGTGAGCGGCAATGAGACCGATAATGATATCGGTACTAATACTAGCCGCGAGGTCGATAGTGACATCACATCGCAACATCGTCATCACGCCTCGTCGCCAACTCGAGGGCGCGCCGCCAGCATCGTCACCATCACGCCCATCGCGGTTGCCAGCAGCTGGTTCTTCCCCCTCCCCCAGCCTCCTTGTCACCCGAAGGGTGGTCGTGTAGGTATGCTATGACGATGGCAAGGCCTGGCTTGAGCGAAGCAAATGCTGGAGGGGACGGGTCCTGGACAGCAGCCCGAAAACCAGGACCCTCTTCTCTCAATCCCCCAACGTCGAGCCCCGATTCTCAGCGACAGCGAGGACGACGGCGACGCGCCTGCCTCGGGGCCTCTGGAGGCAGAAGGCAAGGGCTACCTGAGGTCTCCCGAGGCCCAGAAAAGGCTCGGCAGCTGCAAGGAAACTTCATTCTGGGCCTTCGATGACCTATCTGGGTCGCCTACCTTCGGTCATCGTGCCTGGCGACGTGCGATCATGGTTGCGTGGTAGTCGAGCACTAACTCAAGAAGAATGACTGCTCGTGAGGGGCATACACTTGACAATCGCCTGTCGCTATACAATGAACTTTCGGCCACGTATGCATCGCAGAGCGGGGGGGAGGCTGGGGCACGCCACTCCTCGACAAAACCATTTCGCGACTTGTGCCCGCCGCGACCGTCGCGGCGACCTCCAGTACGCCACGAACAAAATATACACAACGACCCTCCGACGAATTTTGCGTGCACCTTCAGAGAGGGCGGGGGTGTAGAAAATCGCCGGCTCCCACTGGTGATTCATACGCGACCCTCCCCTGGGGCCCAGGAACAGTCCATTGGAAGCTGTCTGTGTATTTTCTTGTGGCAGATCCAACACCGACGCAGCGGTCTGGCTCGGGGTCGGAAATCACGCAGCGAGGGTATCTTCGCGCCCCAGCGGGTGGCCTGACGTCGATGTTCGAGCCCCGATCTTCGACGACGGCGGCGGCGACGGCGAGGCCGGCAGGCTGTCGGCGCGTCGCGTCGGGGGGCGCGGCGCGGCGCGCCCGCCGCCGCTCAGGGTCGTGGATCGGGGCGCGAGAATCGAGGATCGGGGGCACATCTGCAGATGCAAACTAGCACAACAGCCATCGGCACTGCTTGCACAAACTGCAGACCCGCTTTGCACAGCACGGACTGTTCAGTACCGCTGCCCTTCACCGCCTGCACACCAACTAGCACTGCACAACGCTCTGTCACTCCGGGCTTGTCCGTGCATAAGGCTCTACTGGAACCACGCGCGCGTTTCGCACGCCCTTAGACTCAATCTCTTTCGAAGAGCCTCCCAAACAACCGCAAAGAGGCCCTGGCCTCCTGGAACGCCTGAAACTCCTCCCACGCCCTCTTGGAATTATCTGGAACGAGCGTGCTAATACTAGGTCGGGCCTGTCCCCGTACAGGCGGATTTTAGGCGAAAAATAAAACATACCCTCAAACTACTCGACTAATATTCAAACATGGTCAACAAATCGTCCCCAGACTATTTTTAACTATTTTTCAATACTCCTCCTGTAGAGGGACACGCCCGACTTAATGCCCCACGGTCTTACGGAGCCCCACGGGCCCTTGAGGGCTGCACTCGGGTGCCCGAAGCTGTCACTGCGGACCCTCGAGCTGTCCAGGGCAAGTGCGAGACAAAATAT